TCCACCTACCGAGATGAGGTGGACCAGCTGCCTGCATGCTGCAGAGACAACAACCTGGTCCTTAACACCAGTAAGACCAAGGAGTTGGTAGTGGACTTTAGGTAAAACAAAATGGATCTGCAGCCACTCCACGTCAGCAGGGACTGCGTGTAGAGGGTGGCCGACTTCAAGTTTCTGGGCATCACCATCAAGGATGACCTGACCTGGAGCACTAATACCACAGCGCTGGTGAAGATGGCCCATCAGAGATGGTACTTCCTGAGGATTCTCAAGAAGAACAAACTATCGCAGAAACTGCTGGTGTCCTTCTGCCGCTGCTATGTCAAGAGCATTCTAACATACTGTCTGTGTGGTTTACAAGCTGCACTGTTGCAAACAAAAAAAGCGCTCCAGGGAGTAATCACCACCACTCAGAAGATTACTCCCTGCCCTCTCCCCACCCTACAACAACTGTACAGTTTCATCTGCCAGAATATCCTAAAGGACTCATCCCACCCCAGACACAGTATCTTTGAAGCGCTACCCTCAAACAGAAGATACAGAGGAAATAAGTCCCAGATAAACAGACTTAAAAACAGTTTTTATCCAAGTGCAATACAGACTCTTAACAGTACAATATGAGTGTATGAGGCTTTTAAAATATTTTTTATTTATTTAAATAGTTGTTTTTTTTTACTTGATATTGCACCAAGGACTGCTTGTTCAATTTCATTGTATAATGTACAATGATAAATAAAGTTCTATTCTATTTTATACTGAAATCTTATTTGTCAGGACATGGTAGAGGAGAACTTCTTTGGCAAGATAAAGAGGACAGGAGCTAATTCTGTGTCAAACACTGCAATCGGTTCTGGAAGAATAGGAGCCCAATTTTAATGAGCTGAGAATCAGAAGAGGCCGATTGGTGACGAAACTTGTATTAAGTCTCTTCTACTAAATCAATCGTTGATGACAAATTCTCCTGGAAATCGCATATCAGATATGTTCAGAATAAAATAGCAAAAAATATATCGATATTGGCA